CCAACGCCCAAACCAACATGGGGCATTTGAGACCCTCAAGCCCCACATTTTCCCCCTTCACTGCAAGGATGCTCCATAGAGCAGACGCCCCATGGCCTCCAACCCCAACATCTCATCCAGTACGGGGCATCTGTCATTCCCACGTGGAATATCCCCCCTCGGGAAGGCTCCCCGAGGCCGGCGCCCCACACGGAGCCCCGTTCCCTTGCCGCCCCGCAGTCGGCGTGCGCCCCACGGAGCCGGGCGCGCTGGAGCTGGCGCGGGCCGTCGCGCAGTCGGCGCCGCGCCGCGTGGCGCTCGTGGGCGTCTACGCGCACTGCGGCGACACATACCAGTGCGCCGGCGTGCCCGAGGTGCAGGCCGTGGCGCGCGCCACCGCCGCCGCCCTCGGCCGCTTCGTGGACATGTGAGTGGCACCCACGTGGGCGGAAACGGGCGGAATTCCAGGGAATTTGGGTGTTTTGGGACGCCGCTTGAGCCCGGCGTCCGGCATGCATAGAGCTCATCGTGCCGCCGTCTTCACCCCATCTGCATCCCGATCCCCGCGCACCGGCAGCCCTGGAAGCGCGCCCGTTTCCCGGGCCATAAATGCAAATCCCGCCTCCGGCACTCCCCACCTTGGGAAGCGCAGCGGGATGTTCCCCACCCCCCGTCTCCTTTCCCCATCCCCTTTCCCTCTGCTTTTCCATTGCCTGGCACATCTGGCCAGCGGCGGTGCCTCAGTTTCCCCATGGAGCTGGCAGGGCTGGCGTGGGGCCTCTCAGCATTCCGGGGTCAGTGGGATCAGATCTGTTCCCAGGTGGAATCCCAGAGAGTCCTGAGCCTCCAAGCCCCACAGATCCCCTGTCCCGAATCCTGCAATTTCTGCAGCCCAAATCGCAGAGATTCCTGCACCCCAAGCCCCAGAGATCCCCACGTCCTGAATTCCAGTAGTTTCCTCACCCAAAATCCCAGAGATCTCTGCATCCTGAAACCCCAATCCCAGCAGATCCCATGCTCCAGATCCCGGAGTTTCCCATAGCCCAAACCCCAGCAGTTCCCACACCCTCAATTCCAGCAGTTCCTGTCCCCCGAATCCCAGAGATTCCTGCACTCTGAATCTTAGAGATTCCCAAACTTCAATTCCCACTCTCCCAAACCCAGCAATTCCTGCACCCCAAATCCCAGAGATTCCCAAGTCCCAAATCCCAGAGGTTTCCATGCCCTGAAACCCAGCAGTTCCTGAACCCCAAATCCCATTGATTCTCACTACCCAAATCCCAGTGGCTCCTGCTCCCCAAATACCAAAGTCTCCTACACCCCAAATCCCACCAGCTCCTCATACCCCGAATTCCAGAGAGTCCCATGCCCCGAATCCCAGGGATTCCTGCACCCTAAATCCCAGAAATTCCCATACTGTGAATCCCAGAGATTCCCATGCCCTGAATCCCAGGGATTCCTGAACCTCAAATCCCAGAAATTCCCCATACCCTGAATCCCAGAGATTCCGATGTTCTGAATCCCAGGGATTCCTGAACCCCAAATCCCAGAAATTCCCAGACCCTGAATCCCAGGGATTCCCAAACCCCAAATCCCAGAAATTCTCATGTCCTGAATCCCAGAGATTCCCCTGCCCTGAATCCCAGGGCTTCCCGCACCCCAAACCCCAGCGGTTCCCGCGCCCCGTTGGCACCACCCTCCCGGTGCAGAGCACCTGGGCACGGGCGGGGGGTGCCCGGTGTCCCCGCAGGCTGCGCCAGGCCGGGGTGCCCTGTCCCGAGGCCAGCATGGGCTCCACGCCGTCCTGCAGCCACCCGGTGCCGGAGATGGGCGCCCTCACCGAGCTGCACCCGGGCAACTACCTCTTCTACGGTGAGCGGCGCGGCGGGGGGCACCGGGGCGTCCCCCCGCGTGCACCCACGCTGCAGCTGCGCCCCCGTCCCCGCGCAGACCTGCAGCAGCTGCAGCTGGGCAGCTGCGCGCCGCAGGACGTGGCGCTGCGGGTGCTCACGCGCGTCCTGGGCCACTACCCGCGCCGCAACCAGCTCCTCGTGGACTGCGGCTGGGCGGCGCTGAGCCTGCACGGGCAGCAGCAAGGCCAGGGCCCCGCGGGCTGCGCCGCCGTCGAGGGGCACCCCGAGCTCAGGTGGGCGCTGGGGACCGTGGTGGGGATGGTGGTGGCGGTGGCATGGGTGCTCATGGGTGCCCCGTGCAGGCTGGTGGGGCTCACGCAGGAGCACGGGCTGCTGGAGCCCGTGAGCGGCGCCTTGGATTTCGACCGCTTCCCGGTGGGCTCCATGCTGGCGCTCATCCCCTTCCACGTGAGTAGCGCCCGCGCTGGCAGCGGGCACCCCGCTGTGTGCCGGCACCAGGAACCAGCCCCGTGCACCGCATTGTGCATCGTGCCGTGCACCCCAACACGTGCTGGCACTGGGCATGGCACTGGGCACCCACACCGTGCACCCTGCCGTGCACCACGTCATGCACTCCACGACGTGCTGGCACCGTGCACGGCATCGTGCACTCACACTGTGCACACTGCTGTGCTCCGTGCCTTGCACCCTGCCATGCACCATGCCATGCACCCCACCACGTGCCTGCACTGTGCACCCACACCGTGCACCCTGCTGTGCTCCGTGCACTCCACCATGTGCCTGCACCATGCACCCGTGCCGTGCACCCTGCTGTGTCCTGCTGTGCGCTCCCCGTCATGTGTTGGCACCGTTGGCACCCCTCCATGCACCGTCGTGCCCACGCTGTGCTCTGTGCCCTTCGTGTGCCTGCACAGCGCACCCATGTCATGCGCCACACTGTGCACCCTGCCATGCACCCACACCATGCACCCTTTGCCACGCCAGCGCCCTGCATCCACGCAGCGCACGCCGCACGCCCTCACCGTGCACCCTGCCATGCCCTGTGCCGTGCACCCTGCCGGCTACCTGCACCGAGCACTTCACCATGCGCCCACCCCGTGCACCGTGCACCACAGCATGCCCACGACGTGGGCACCCTCCCCATGTACCCATGCCATGCACCCACCCCATACACGCACCCCATGCACCCACCCTGCGCACCCACCTCATGCACCTTCCCCATGCCCCCCGACCATGCACCCACCCCGTGCACCTACCCCATGCAAATGCACCCCCACCAGGCACCCACTCTGTGCAACCATCCCATGCACCCCCACCACGCACGCACCCTGGGCACCCACCCCATGCAATAACCCCACACACCCACCTCACGCACCCACGCCGTGCACCCACCCCGTGCACTAACCCCACGCACCCACCTCAAGCACCCACCTCATGCACCCACCCCGTGCATCCACCTAATGCACCCCCACCATGCACCCACCCTGTGCATCCATCCTGTGCACCCACCTAATGAACCTCCACCATGCACGCACCCTGTGCACCCACCCCGTGCACTAACCCCATGCACCCAACCCGTGCATCCACCCCGTGCATCCACCTAATGCACCCCCACCATGCACCCACCCTGTGCACCCACCCCATGCACTAACCCCATGCACTAACCCCATGCACCCACCTCATGCACCCACCCTGTGCACCCACCCCATGCACTAACTCCACGCACCCACCCCATGCACCCACCCCATGCACTAATCCCACGCATCCACCTCATGCACCCACCCCGTGCACCCACCCGGTGCTGACGCCGCCTCTCGCCCCGCAGGCCTGCGCCACGGCCGCCATGCACCCCGTGTACTACGTGCACGACGAGGGCAGGGTGGTGGCCCTGTGGCACCCGGTGCGCGGCTGGTAGGGGCCCCGCGCCCGCCCCGCGCCCGCCCCACGAGCACCAATAAAGCTCCAGACCCCTCCGCAGGCTCCGTGTGGCTTTGGGGGGCACCAAGAAATCCGGGGGTGCGTGGGGCCAGTGGGTGCTGGGGGGGTTGTGGGTGCCCGGGGGGGGCTGCGGCAGCTCCGATCCGGCGGGATCCGCGGGCGACAGCGGCGCCTCCAAGGCCATAAAACACAGCGGGAGCGGGGGGGATCCTGCCCCTCATCCTGCGGTCCCGCTTTGATCCCGGGCAGTCCTGCGGCGGGGAGGGGGGCACGGAGCCCCCGCCTACGGACATCCCTATGGAGCGGGAATGGGCCCATCCCGAGGCATCCGCACGGGGCCCTGCCCGTCGGAACCGGTCCAGTCCTATCCTGCCCCATCTGAACTGCTCTGGTTGCATTGGGATCGGTCCAGCCCCATCCCACCCGATCCCAACTGGGCCGCCTGGATCAGAGCCAAACGGAGCTGATCCCAAGGCTCCGGCTCAACTGAGCTGATTTGATCCAGGTCGGACTGATCCAGGACCGGACCTGAGCTGCAGCAGCCCAAGTGAATGCAAAGGCACTGGGACTGATCCAATCTGACCGGATCCAAGCAAACAGTCCGGATACGATCCCACGTATCTGGAGTTGGTCTCAACCAATGTGAGCCTGAGCGACCCAATCTGATCCAAATGGTGCCAGTCCCATCCGCACTAATCCGAACCAATCCAAACGGATCTGAACCCAGAGAGTCTCATCTGCACCAGACCCGGATCAAACTGATCCAGCTAGAACCGACCTGGCACAATCTGGTCCGATCCTGACCAATCTGGGCTGAATGGAACCAATCTGGATTCAGATCTGATCCAGTTTGATCCAATTTCCAGTTTGATCCCACATGAGATGATCCCACCTGAGCCGATCTCAAGCAGGCCAAACTGAACCCATTTGATTTGATCCAATCCGCATCGATCCGGAACTCATATGATCCAATCTGGATCAAGTTGGTATGAACCAGACCGAACTGATCCGATTCAGATGCTCCCACCTGATCCTGACCTGACTGGCACAGAACCGCTCTGGCTGGACCGATCCGATTTGAACCGGACCAAACCGGTCCCATCCAAACGGACCCAAACTGAGCGGGTCAGCTCTGCTCCAGATGGATCCGATCCGCACGGATCCAGTCGCGCCCGAGCCGATCCAGTCTGATCCCAGCGGATCCGACCCGAACCGAACCGAGGCCGCGGCGGAGGGGGGCGTGTCCCCGCCAAGCCCCGCCCCCTCCCCACTCTCAGCCAATGGCGGCGCCGCCCGGCCCCTGCCGGCCCGGAGCGAGCCGCGCCCGGCGCCCGAACCGAGCCGGGACGCGCGGCGGAGCGAGCGGCGCCCGAACCGAGCCGAGCCGAGCCGAGCCAGGCCGGACCGGACCGAGCCGAGCCGAGCCGCGTGGCAAGGAGCTGAGCCGAGCGGAGCCGAACCGGGCAGAGCGGGGCCGAACCGGTTCGGAAAGAGCCGAACGGGACCGAACCGGGTCGGGAGGAGCCGAGCGGAGCCGAACCGAGCCGCGCCGCGCGTTGGGAAGCGCTGCCGCGGGTTCGCGTCCCGCTCTCGGTCCCGGTCCCGGTCCCGTTCCCGGTCCGGATCCCGGTCCCGGTCCGGCCATGCGGCGGGAGCGGGCCCCGCTCTGCCTCCTCGTCGTGCTGCAGCTCTGCCCCGCGCAGGTCAGTGCGACCCGACCCGACCCGAACCCCGCGAGCCGCCCCCGGCCCGTGCAGCGCGATCCCCCCGGTGCCGCTGCGGGGGCGGCGGGAGCGCCGCGGCCCTTCCTAAATTCCAGGGCGCTTCCCGGCGGGTTAACGCGGAACACATTGGCCGCCTGGAATTAACTTTTTTTTTTTTTTCTCCTTCTCTTTATTTCTTTCTTTCTTTTCCTTCTTTCTTTCTCTCTCTCTTTTTCTTTTTTCCTTTTTTTTTTTTTTTTTTTTTTTTTTTTTCCTCTTCCCTCCCCGTTGCCGCCGGGCTCTGCAATTAAGCTCCATTTCTCCCCCCGCTGCCAGGGGAGGCAATTACCGCCAAGCCCAGGCTTTATTTTACTTTTTTAATTGATTTTTTTGTTGTTCTTGTTGCTTTCCCACTAGTCGCGACTTCCTCGGGGGGAATTTTTCTCTCTGGGGCAGTGAAAAAGGGGGAGAACCCCCCAAAAATCCTTTGACTGGGGGGCTTCGACGGCGCCGAGGCCGAAGGCTGCGGCCTGGATTCCATCAGCCGGGATCTTCCTCATCCCGGCCACGCTTGGGATGCTCCGGCCGCCCCACAAAATGTCGCCGGGGGAACAGGGAGAAGAAAAATTCCCCTTTTCGTCCATTTTTAATTATTTTTTAATATTTTTTTCCCCTCTCAATGTCTTCGGGCACGAGGGGGAACTCGGGAAGCGAAGCTGCTCCCGGCCAGGGCTGCCCGTCCCGGCGCTCCCGCTCCGCGATTCCAGGGAATGGGGGTTTCCAGGGAATGGGGGGGGTTCTCTCCGGATGCTCCGGGAGCCGCCACCGCCTGCTGCTCGTTAAGCGCCTCCAGCTGCCTGGTGCCAATTAATGCTTTTGGTTGCGGGGCGGGGGGGGAAATATTTGGGGGGAGCCGCCTTTAAAGGCTGCGGCCGGACGAGCCGCCCCGGCGTCACCGAAACCTGATCCCCGAATAGTTTTTGCCGAGCCCAAAAATACCCACTTGGTGGGTGTTTTGGGGGTGTCTTTGCTTGGGTTTGGGGGTGCGTGTCTGTGTCCCCCCCCCCCCGCCTCAGTTTCCCCCTCCTCCTGCCTCAGTTTCCCCATCGTGGAGGCAGCAGTGCGGGGAAGGGGCGCAGGGGGGATCGGAGCACCCTGGGGCCCTCCCCGGTTGTGACTCCCGGGCGCCGGTGCCGCAGGTGCCGTCGCGGAGCCCCGCGTGCCCCAGCGGCGCCTACACGGCGACGGGCGCCTGCTGCTCCCTCTGCCCGCCCGGCTTCGGCGCCGCCGAGCCCTGCGGCGCCGCCGACACGCGGGGCGAGCCCTGCGGCCACGGTGAGCGCCGCGCAGCCCCCGCGCCCCGAGTGCAGCCCCCGGACCCAGAATGCAGCCCCCAGACCCAAAATGCAGTCCCTAGAGCCAGAACGCAGCCCCTA